AGAAGTAAAACGAGATGAAGAATAAAATTTGTAACACTTCATATCCACTAAAACTATTCTAAAAGGGCTCTATTGGTGAAATATGACATTATTGAATTCTTCAGCATTATGAAGATCCAACTAGAAAGTCCTATATCCTAAATTTCAGTACTTGGTAGGCCTCCCCGATTCAACAAAACCTCTAGAGAAATGTAGACCATAGTGTAATGGTTCCACTTTACACCCTGTATGAGTTTTGTTTTGCGGACTTTTTCAGATTGTTCTAGCTCTCTTTGAAGTCGATGAAACATCACATCTGATATCGAAAACCGCATGAAGATCGGTCAATTTTTTAAAAAAATACAGGTCTTCGAAGTAGAGTCAAATTATGAGTGGTCCATTTGGTGTGTTGAGAACTGTAGTTAGTCTATTTATGAGTCCGGAAATCTGCAGTTCTTCGATTTTCCAGTTAAACTGGGGCACCCTGCTAATATTCCATTATTTACCTCCTCTGAAGATGACAGGTGTGACTTACTAGATTTTAACCACTCTCTATACCCGTTTGAGAGCTATTAAAATGTTGAATACAAAGTTGTTTCATCTACTTTTTATATGAGATTGGATTTGTTGATCTATGGGGGCAGTTATTGTCCTTTTTAGTAGTATTAAAATTATTTGCAAATGGGACATCTTGAAACTTTTTAGCATCTTCTACAAAAGAGATAGGGAATGGTCAAAATAAAGTGAATCAGTACAATAATACGTACTTAAAAACTAAGTTGAATACAAGAGGAGTGATCTTCTTTAAATGTATTACTCGAGTAAATGTAAAAATCTTCACAAACGGAAAGATTTCCACAAAATTTCTAATTAATGAACAGGACAAGTTTCGCTTAATTGATTAAGAAATCCGTAGAAATCTTATTGTTTGTGGAGTTTTTCACATTTATCATAATATAGATTTCCTTCACGGCCCTAATCAGAAGTTTTCTGGGTGCTCCTAAAAGCGTTATTTCATCCTGTTATTTTATATTATTCTCGAAATGTGTTATTTCTTGTGATCACAAAACTATATATATAAAACTACAATGTTTACTTAAAAAAAATTATCACTACTTTTGTGATCCTAGGAGAACTTTTTTTCTGATAAATTAGTGATCACTCAATCGATTCGGCAATGTTTTCATAATAATGCAAGATACAACTGTCAAATATATCCTCATGCATGGATATTATGATATTTGTAGAAGCCAACACACAAAGATTGTTTTTCTGGGGTCACGAAAGTTGTAATAAAGAAGAAAGTAGAATCTCAGTTATTTATACACCAAGGTTATAAAGCATATCATTATTACCCTGGTACCAAGATTATATCCCGAGCCTTTTTTCATTTAACCTCGTGGATAAATGAGATGTTGTCAAGGCTATTCAAAATGAGTCCCACATACTAGAGAAACATATTTTTTTCTGTGACGGGAATATCTCTGTTGACAGGTTATAAAAACATACTTTTCATAAATTAGTACTTGAGTACTTTTTTCCCGGATATACAGTGTGACCCATTTAAGATGGAAGCACCCTTATAAAACTTACATTTTTCAACCGATTGGAATGATTTTTTTTTGTTAGGTAGATATTCAAAAAGTCTATTAGGACACCAAATATCATGAATAAATCTCCATTTCCAGGGCCAACTAATCTGATTTTTCAAGGTCAAAAATCTAAAAAAATTACTAGCGATTTTTTTAGAAAAAATCTGACTACACCACTGGATTTGTGACATTTTCAAATGGGTAACATGTAAATTACGTTGAAATGCGTCAATCAATAAAAAAGTTATAAAGGAATGAAATTTGAGAAATATGCCGTTTAATCAACCCACCAATTCATGTTCAGGAATTTTATGAAAATTCTGTGTACTCCACTGGATTCAGGATGTCTTGAAATATTACTGATCACAGTTCCATCGAAATCTGTTCAGTAATAAAAATTGATGGGTTGATTAAACGGCATATTTTTCAAATTTCATTCCTTCATAACTTTTTTATTGATTGACGCATTTCAACGTAATTTACATGTTACCCATTTGAAAATGTCACAAATCCAGTGGTGTAGTCAGATTTTTTCTAAAAAAATCGCTAGTAATTTTTTTAGATTTTTGACCTTGAAAAATCAGATTAGTTGGCCCTGGAAATGGAGATTTATTCATGATATTTGGTGTCCTAATAGACTTTTTGAATATCTACCTAACAAAAAAAAAATCATTCCAATCGGTTGAAAAATGTAAGTTTTATAAGGGTGCTTCCATCTTAAATGGGTCACACTGTATATTACATATATACAGGGTGTTTCGAAATTCGACCGACAACGTTTGACAGGTGATAGCCCTCGTGATTTCATAATCATTGAGATAGGAACATTCGGTCTTCAAGTGTTCAGTTCTCGAGATACAGGGCGTTGAAGTTGAGAAATGAAAATAGTTGTTTCGCAATATCTCAAGAATAATTGAATATAATGCATTCAACTTCGGTATATGGTTTCATCTTTGAATGGGCCATTTTTTGACCTGGAAGCCATTCCGGACATTTTGTCCAGTGGTGCCCTACAGGGGGTTGTGGCATTTTTTCCTTCCATATTTTCTACGCCACTGATTGAATTTCGATTATTTCCAATTCCTCGAATTCATTGTTCAATTTTGTTCAGAAAATGCATCACCTTCAACTGAGCTGAAATAAACAGTTTTCGAGATATTCGACCCAAAATAGAAGATTGCATAGTAATATTTCATCATTTTCAGTAGTAGAAAATTGCAAAAATATTTTTCTGGTGTTGAGTAGATTAGATACTATTCAGATCTCATTCCATAGCTGAACAGAAATAGTTATTCCACACATGAAGAGAAAACAAAAATTTTCGTAATTTTTTACTACCGAGGAAGATGAAAAATTACTATGCATACTTCTATTTTGGGTCAAATATCCCGATAACTGTTCATTTTAGCTCAGTTGAAGGTGATGCATTTTTTCAACATAACTGAACAAACAATTCGAGAAATTGGAAATAATTGAAATTTCATCAGTGGCGTAGAAAATATGGGAGGAAAAGTTATCACAACCCTCTGTAGCGCATCTCTGGATAAAATTCTCGGAATGTCTTTCTGGTCAAGAAATTAATCAGTGAAAGATGAAACCATATACCGAATTTGAATGCATTATATTAAATTATTCTTGAGATATTGCGAAAAAACTATTTAAATTTCTCAACTTCAACGCCCTGTATCTCGAGAACTGAACACTTCAAGACCGTCTGTCCCTATCTCAGTGATTATGAAATCACGAGGGCTATCACCTGTCAAGCGTTGTCGGTCGAATTTCGAAACACCCTGTATACACTGTTGATGGCTTTTGTTGTGCTATAGTTCCGAAAAATAAGTCTCTTCCATTCGATTTCGCAATTTATCGAAATCAAATCAAAGAATTAGTTAGACAGATATTTGATTACTTCAAAAGAATGATAAAGATGACTGCAAAAAGATGTCTGCAACGCAGGTGTCATTCCTGTCAAAAACTTCAAATTTCACGTCGATAATTTCTGATTTATATATGATCGTGTAATATCTTCTCAATATTGTCGTCTTTTTTCCTGTCACAGAAAAAAATTTATTAATTATACACGGGAAAAATATTAGATTTCAGCTTACGGTTCTTTGTCTCCCTCCGATACGCGTCGGGAGACAACACAACCTGGAGCTAAAATCTACTACTTTTTCCCTTGTATAAATAACTATTTTTCAGAAAAAATATTTTTTGTGCCACTTATCGTTGAATTATTTCAGTCCCATCATATTTTGATCAAACATTCATTTTATTCAAATGGGACCCCTATGGGCCACTACATATGTCTCTCTAGAAGCCTAAAATCATTCAGCGAGAAAAAAATTGCATCATTTTGGTATTTTGGTGCAGTAACAAATTGTATACATTCAAAAATTAACAACTAGTTTCATGAATAATATCCTTGCAGTTTAACTAAAAGCTATGGAAAACAACATTTCTGAATCTTGTCATGAAAAATACAGGGTGATCAGAATTCTGAATCTTGAACCACCGTGTATCTGTTTCGATTAAATATCAGTAAATAGTGAATCAAAAGTTGAGATTGAGACATGTGAGCCGTTTTGACCGATAATGAATAGTTTCGACACAAAAAAATTCTAAAGTACAAAAATCTTGAAAACGCTATATCTCTGTAATCTTTCACAATAGACTCCAAGTGGGATATATTCATAAAATCAGCTCTTCAGGAAAAATATGAAAATTCGATGAAATACAGGGTGTTCTTTTTGAAATAACAATGTTGCTACTACTTTCTAGTAGAAGCGGCAACACTGCATTGTCAAAAATATTTCAAATGAAAAGAGCGTATTCTAAAATACAGGGTGTTAACAAATAAGTGTCACAACGGAAAACTGTAGATTCCTCATGAAAAAAGAAACATTTCTTCCCTTTCGAAATTTTTCTCCGGGCTTCCGTTTTCAAGACAGGACGTCAAAAAAATACAAATGAATCTGTTTTTTTCTACTATCTTAGAGACCGTTTGAGCTACGGAGTTGAGCCTTCGTACATACTTCATCATCAATAATGAATACTTTTAGGGATCTTGATCAATTTCCTTGCACATGTCAGTGGAGGAGAATTCAACGCCTCGTAAGGGTTCAACCCCCCAAACGTTTATGCCACGAGAGAAATTGTAATTTTCAAAGTGGACACAAAAAACGTCCTCTTGTCTCAAAGTGAACAGATTCCGCTAAAAATGGCTCTTTATGAATAAGAACATACAAAATCCTGATGGTCTGCTGATTCCCAAAAGGGGGGGGGGGAATCACATTTTAATTCGTTTGTAATGTATTTTAACTCAATGTCGTTAGTTTCGAACTGGACCAAAGATATTTTTATGGACGAATTTTCCTGTTAATGCTACGAATATTGAATAATAAATTATTTTGCACGAAATACACATCTTCCCTTCTTTGGTATATATTCACGTGCACACAGCCCAGCAACCCTCACTCTCCAAAAATCGTCTAAGAATCCACTGGAAACAAACACCTCAGAACTGTCTAATAATATGTTCAATCAGATGTCAGGTTCTTGAGTATGCTGGTCTCTATGCTGGTTTTCAAATTGTCAAGTTTATTAAGTGTTGTAAAGTGTGTTTAAATAAAACTGAACATTTTTGATTTTTTGACGCCCTGTATCTTGAAAAATGAAGCCCAGAGAAAAATTTCGAAAGGGAAAAAATGTTTTTTTCTCCACGAGGAGTCTACAGTTTTCCGTTGTGACACTCATTTGTTAACACCCTGTATAAGCAGGCACATTTTCATGGATTTCTCCCGACTGATTCTTCATATAATGATAGTGTGAGCTCGTCGTGACATACCCTGTATTTTTGACCACAAAAAAATCTGAAAACAGGTGTTCCATTTGAATGAAGTCTGAAGTTTGACAGATAAAGACTGAAACAAAATATTATGACAGGACGTCTGTCTCGCTGTTGCTGACAATCGAAGCAACTCCAATCATGTTAAGTCTCCATCATTTTTGAGATCTAATAGTTGTTTTTTCATAAAAAAGTGCTGATCACTCGTACTCCATTAATCGATAATAAGACATTGAATGAATCCAATTAAACCTAATAGAATCACAAACTCATTTGGTAGGAAAATTGTAAGACTTATTGAATATCATGGAAACGTAATATTGCTCTTCCGGGAATTTCAGACTGACAAAGCTTTTGTACTACACGTGGAGCTTCATCAGCAGAGAACTCGGTGTGAGGCGGAGGAATTATATCTCCTGCAGCAACATATTCAACCAATTGCTGCAACTGCTCTATAGATCCGGGAGCGACAGCTTCGATTTTTTTATTCGTTTCAGCGATCAATCTGGAGAATTTAGGTAGTAAACGTTCCGCTACCTCTTCACTCACTAGAACGACTCCTCCCTATAACAGAATAAAAATTATATCAAGTCTACAAACTGGCAAATTTGAGGAAATCATCAAAATTTACACCAAGTTCAACTCAATATGTGACTTGTGTAAATCACCGACATAACTACTGTAAAGAGTGTAGGGTGGCCAGGTAGCCGTGCGGACAGAGTGTCCATATTCTAATCCGCATTCGCTTGCCGGTCGTGGGTTCGAGTCCCGTCGACTGCAGAAATTTTTCTGATGGCCCAAGAAAGTGTTTGGGATCACACGTTAAAAGGTAAGGCCCCCGTCATTCCTTGCTCGCACAAGACTCTCGAAGACTTTTGAGGGTTGCTCGTAAGGGGGCAACCGAATGACGGATAGAACAATTTTAGAACAATTTTTTTTTAGTCACTGGATGGTATAAGTTAGATAAGAATTCGCACACAGGAATGACAACTGTTAGTGTTTTTGAATGTTTAGATTCATCAAGTTACACACCTTGCATCGTGACAAGAGCACCGTACTCGTTTCGCGCTTTTTCATTCTTCAGAATTGTTTTTTTTATCGCTTGGAGCGCACGAAAGGGAATCCCTATAATGTTCAAAGGACATCGTGCGTTCCTAGGGAGGATAGGGACAGGAGGTAGGTATTGGAATTTTTTTTTTGAACTTTTGGAGATTATAATTATGTTGTTGGGAATACTTCCACAGGCAATGAATTCCAGAGCCTAGCCGTTCTATGGATGAAGGAGTCTTGATAAAGTGCTGTTCGACATCTTCCGAGGTTGACAACGAAAGGATGTGCTTACTGGGCTTGTCTAGTTCGTCTGATTGGTATTGCTAGTGAAGGGATGATAGCAGAGATTTCCGAAGAACATTTCCCGTGAAAGTATCGATAGAAAAGTGAAAGGTCGCCGACCTTTCTACGGTGTTCCAATGATGTCAAAGAGTGAGTGAGTGTGGCGTCACCCACCAGGCGAATGGCTCTTCTCTGGATGGAATCTAAGGGCATCAGCGTATGTTTTGGTGCTGAACCCCATATGTGGGAACAGTATTCTAGAACAGGCCGTATCTGCGCTTTGTAGATCATGAGAAGCTGTTATGGTGTAAAGTAGCTTTTCGCACGGAACAAGAATCCGAGTTTTTGTGAAGCAGCTTTTGCGATGGATCTGACATGATTATATCCTATGAAAGAGTGTTGCTGATGGAAATACCGAGCATAAATATGGTGGGCTTGGTGGGGATGGTGGAGCCAGACATTACAATATCGGGCATACTGAGTTCCGCCTTTCTAGAGAAAATACAGGATTGAGTTTTGGTGGCGTTTGAATTCAACTAGGTTGTTGGTTCCCCAGGCTGTGATTTCAGCAAGGTCTTCATTGACAGCATTGACCTGCCTGCAGCGTGAGTTCTTAGTTTCCTGGGAAGAAATGGGAATTCTGGAAGAGAACGCAGTATGGAGGGTACTATCATCTGCAAAGCTGTGGATGGGGCAAGTTGTTACTCCCAACAGATCATTGATATGAAGAAGGAATAATATTGGTGCCAGAATTGATCCTTGTGGAACGCCGGAATTGATGCCAATGGTATCAGCCGATACATCGTCCACCACCACGTGAAGCGATCTGCCTGAAAGAAAACTCGATAAGAGATGGCATAGCTGAGGTGGTAAGCCGTATGATGGTTGTTTGTGGAGGAGCCCTTCGTGCCAAACACGGTCAAATGCTTTCGATATGTCCAACGCGACAGCTAGAGATTCCCCGTGTTTTTCTATTGAAGATTGCCATAAATGGGTGACGTAGGCAAGTAGATCTCCAGTAGATCTTCGGTGGCGAAAGCCGTATTGTCTATCATTGATGATTCCTGAGCTCTCCAGATATTTGATGAGCTCAATGTTGATGGCTTTCTCCATTACTTTGGAGATCACTGATAACAGGGCAATGGGCCTGTAGTTGTTGGGCAGGTTCTTGTTCCCTTTTTTGGGGATTGGTTGGACTCTAGCCGTCTTCCAGCATGATGGAAAAATACCCGACCTGTACGAGATGGTAAACAACTTGCAGAGAATCGGTGTTAGTTCTAGTGCACATTTTTTGAGGATAATGGGTGGAATTCCATCAGGACCGTTAGCCTTATTCGTTTTGAGACCAAGCAAAATTCGTTTGATAGTGCGTTGACGGAAAACGATTTCGGGCATTCGACTCTCAACGGGTGGAATGTCTGGCGGCAGTTTTCTTTGGGAATCTAAAGTAGAGTTTGCTGCGAACATCTCTGCAAAAATATTTGCTTTCTCCTGCGATGTTGTTGCTAATGTGCCGTCGGATTTGGATAGTGGTGGAAATGAACTATTAGTGAAATTTCTTCCGACCGCTTTAGCAGGGGACCAAAACGAACAGGAGCCATTGGGGCAATCTATGAGTTTCGATCTTATCTTGGCATTGTATGTTTCTTTCGAAGCATCTATTGTTTGGCTGCAGTTATTCCTGGCATCAACGTAATCTGCTCTAGTCGCGAGGTTAGGGTTTTTGCGTCAGCGATGATAGGCTGTTTGTTTCAAGGCAACAGTTCTAGAACAGTTTTTGTTGAACCAGGGCTTCGAAGGTAATGATCTTTTCGAAAAATGAGGTATGTATGTGTCCATTCCGAGCATGATGATCTCGGATATTTCCGCAGCACACTGTGAAGGGTCCTCAGAGTCAAAGCATACTCTATAATAATAATAATATTTATTCTAGGCAAATTGTAGCATGTACATAAAAATGGCTTATTCAGAATAAATATTGGTACCTACCACTTACGAAGCATCGTTTATAGATGCTTGTTTGTAAGCATGATATTAGTGGGTACTGTTACAGAGGACTTATATTCACATAATTATTTGCATATAAAATATGATGAGAAATTCGAAATTTAAAATTCTTAGAATACCTACGGAACACTTAAAATACTTAAGTAACTAACACACAAATAGGATAATAGCACAATGGAATAAAATAGGAAAGATAAGATGATGATTTTCTCTAGGGAAGTGAAACTACTTAAAGTATAATGTTATAAAAACCTCCATTAAAACTCACATATTGATGTACATTCGTTTAAAATAATCACAATCCAATATTGAATGAAGTTATATGATGAAGAGTATTTTTTTTTATTTTTTTTTAATTCGTATTCAATTTCCAATAATGGAATGAATGACTTCGATTGCCGTATTTTGTGTGAATATTTTACATTCTTTATTGAATCTTGAGAAAAGCTTTTCGTTTTGTATTGTCGTTGGCAAAACGTTGAATGCTCTCGGGCCCAAATATTGAAAACTTTTCTGCCCTACACATTTATGCATTCGCGGGGTCGTGTATTTAACATTTTGTCTAGTCGTATATGAGTGCTGAGGAGTGAGTAATAATTCATTCTTATTGAAATATACGTATTTGTTGAGTTTCACAAAGAATAATTGTCTAATATCAAAAATCTTTGATTCTCTGTACAACAGATCACTTGGATATCTTGGATTCTTGTCAAGCATGATTTTCAGAAACCTTCTTTGTGCAACTTCTAGCGGCCTCAAATAAGTTTTTGTTACTCCTCCCCAGCCTATTATTCCGTAGTTCAAATGAGATTCTACTAAACTGTGGTAAAATATTTTTTTCTGTTTGAAGTTCAATATGTTGTTGACTTGTTTGAATTTGTACATCACACAGCGAAGTTTTTTTGTCAGAAAATCTATGTGCAGATTCCATCTGAGGTGATTATCAAGAATGATTCCCAGGTATTTGATTTTTGATGTGGATGAAATTTGAAAGTTCTCTATTCTAATTTTATTGAAATTAGGAAGTCTACTCTTGTTACTGCAAAAGGGAATATGAACTGTTTTTTTCATATTTATTGATAATAATCTGCAATCGAACCATTTCTTTATTTCGGATAGTTCACTTTCCATTTGAAGTTTCAAGTCAAGAAATATGATAGCAGTGTCATCAGCAAAGCTAATAATCTTACCTCTTCCAATATTTATAAATAGATTGTTCAAGTATACAGTGAATAGGATTGGTCCTAGTACTGTTCCTTGAGGTATGCCAAGGAAACTCGGAGAAAAACATGCGGAGACCGTCCCAATCTCCTTGTAATGCCATATAAGACGTGGGGGTGCCGGAGCAGTTGATGGAATGAAAAATGGGCAGGTTGTGGAGATGAGTGTGTGGTCAGAATTGCCAAGTGGAGCTCGTACATTTATGGTGTAGGGTGCTGAATTATTAGTGAGGAATAAGTCAAGTATGTTAGCTGAATGGTTATTGGCATCGGGAATTCGTGTGGGTTCTTTGATAAGCTGCTCTAAGCCGTGAGTGATGGCGAAAGCTTCGGCTTGTCGCCCAGCTTCGTCCGTTCTGTTGGAGTGTACGAGCCAAGCAGTGTTGTGTACATTGAAATCGCCCATGATGATGATTTCTGCTGCTGGATGGTTGGATTTGGTCAAGCTTCAGAGACAAGAATTCGAAGAGCTCTACATAGGATGGATCATTTGGTGATAAGTAGAGACAACAAAGGTATTTGGTCTGTTTCTGGCTATCGAGTTTGAACCACACGACATCAAACTTATTTGGTTCCAAAGTTTTTTCTCGTTGACATGAGAGATTCGTTTTAGAGTAGAGGCAGAGACCTCCATTGAATCTGAAACGTTTGTGGAGTTCGTACCCAGGACAGAGCAGATATAGGTCGTATTGGTGGATGAATTGACTTGTGTCTCAGTGAGAGCCAATATGTCTGGCTTTTCAATTTGAAGGTGTCGATGGACATCGTTGATGTTCTTACTTAGACCTCGGATGTTACATAGGTCTATCTTGAGGACTTTTTCCAGCCGATGGTGAACCCCCTTTAGCACCTCTCGCCCGGAAATCCGAATGGAGAGGTATTTTACTTCCGGATAATTTTACTTGAGGAGAACTCATCATCGCGTATTCTGTATAAAGAAGGGAGGTTGGCGTGGAAGGAAAAGGAAATTGGGTTGGGTTGGGTTGGCCGGAACATCAACCAGCTACTGAAACACGGGTAAGTATACCCATTTCACAGTGCCTATGGTTGATGTGGTGGTATCGCACGTCAGAATTGGAATATAATTTCATGAACTATTGAGAAAAAACCATAAATAGAAATGTCTTTCTGTGTAATGAATTGTGGGAATTCTGAAGAAAATGGATTTCATATTTTCAATTTTCCAATAGAATGTTATTGGATTTTAGGCCCATTTTCAAACAGAAGATTTTAAGATCCGTTTGAGGAAATCTGCTATTCCATTAATTATCAGAACAGGCTATTAAAAAAGTATCAAATTTCATCACACGGAATGCGAAAAAAATGTATCAATGGAAAAGAAGAATTGATTGCAAAACCAAGTAATGAAATTGAGAATTTGAGAACGAAATTGAGAAAATCAAGTAAATTGCAACGTGAATGGCGTTTTCAATACCGACCAAATTCAATCAGGAATGTACCAGTGAAAATGAGTGAATGCAGCAAAAGGTGGAAAATCAAAACAATCTTCATGTTTCAAACTCAGATCACTCGGGTACAGTTTTACATACAAAAAGGAACTAGATATAAGTATATCCATATGTGCCCACTTTGTCATAATTAACATATTGCGTGCCATATGTCTCTCATATATGAGCGACATTGAACTTTCCCAAGGTGCTTCGTCTATCATATGTAAGAAACAGATATTAGACCCTACCAGTGCGTGTCTCTCACAAATGCATCACGCTGCCGTAAATTTCAAATGGTAGAGAGTGGCCCCTGGAGAAAACCATGTGAATCTTGGTTTGAGCAAAATTGAAAACATAGTGACTTTGTGTAGAACAAAGTCAAAACTATTATATTTCCGTACAAAATGAGGTAAAAAATCAAACTAATTAAACAAATATATCTCATTGAAACATGTCAAACAAATTTGCAGATGATACGATGAAGTAGATGCTTTCGCCGTTTCAGTCTTTTGTGGTTTGTCTGAATTCCTCAAATCAAGTAGGGCTGCGGCTGATATATCTTGAAGTGCTCGTATCGAGATTTTTCTGGAGGCCTGCTCATAGAGAACCCAGGAAACAAAAGAGAAAACACTGAAGAAACCGTCGCTCATATTCGAATCACGTAGCCTCCAGCAATAAATTTGCTTTTGCTGCTACGGGTCACGCGAGGGGCCACGTAACAAAAAAAAAATATAACCAAAAACTACAGAAAACACAAGTATCAAACAAACCTTCATTTTAACATGAAATACTCACAAATAATAGAAAACTGTGGATTGGCCCCCAAACCCAATCCCCGATCACGGCGGCTTGGCATGCAATGTGTCAAAATGTTATTATATACATGCATTCTTTTTATGTTTATAACTGTTGTTCTGATATTTCTATTTTCCATCTACGGCTGATTGATTTGACAGAGAATCTAACCTTCAAAATCGTGTCTGACAATCAGGCGCTACTAGGGAAACTGAAAAGACAAAGAGCACAGTATATGTCTTATTCTTGTATTCACTATCAAATCTGAGATATCAAACCATTCTGACATAGAAAATAGAAAAGGACAGAAGTTCAACTGTGTCCGAACTCTCATTCAACTAATATTACCATCCAGTGACTCTACTACCATTTATTCGCGGTCGCCAAGATCATTAGGTGGCGTTGCAATTACATTGAAAACTAAACTAATAGCATTATACTGTTGCTATATATTATGTAGGTAATACTATTATATATGGGTCACGTCAATCTATCTATGCTTCTTGTGCAGTGAAGCTGAAACAATAAATAACTATATGCATAAATGGTAGCACTGTGCATGCCCAGATTCTTAGATTGCATTATCTGCTTGATAACCAGATGGTATATTTTACCAGACGCGTGTCGTTTTCAATTATTTCATATTTTTGGCTTCACAAACCTGTCAATTTACTCCCACGGGAGTAAACAGAATTTTATCTTCCGTGGGAGGTAAAATAAATCGGCTTCAGCTTGCTTCCTTGGTAGAGATATACGTATAAGATCTAAGATCTGTGCTACCCAAATATACCTAATCAGTGTCTCCACTATACTATAAAACAAATAACAATTTCCTTTCCAAACCCCAATACACTCATAAACTTCCTCATTTTTCATACTCTCTCAATCGAAAGTCGAAACTTTAAATAAAATGCAATTACACAATAAACAAATTCAATATGACAGAAGTGTCAAATTGATTTTCGTTCAGATTCAAATATACTGTCAATAATAATTGTTCATTTCCTCCCATGATGCGTGTTTGATGCCCGACGCTTAGCGGAGGGCATCAAACACACGCGGGAGGAAATGGATATATACCTTTGCTCCCTTGATATATAAATAGCTATTTTCTAAAAACGTCAAAAAATGACAAGGTCCGCGCATTGATAACAAATTGTGAAGTGACACTTTCTTCAGTTTCCTACGTTACACAAAACAAGTAAATAGTGCGCGAAGGACCTACTTCGCGCATTGTAATGTAGAATTATTGAGATATTTATATTTCAACTTTATGGTCCTCAATCGAGCAAACATCCACGAAATAATGTATTCCTGAATGTTCAACAATAACTTTGTTTTATCACTTGGAGCGCACGAAATGAAATTCCTATTATGTTCGTGGAACATCGTGCGTACCTAGGGAGGATAGGGGAAGGCCTTTCAAGCCAGTTTAACACTATTTTTTATATCAAGCTGAGCATATTTTTACTTTAGAAATATATTTTTTGACGTTTGTAAAAAAAATGTTGTTTGCAACTCGAGCGCGAAATACTTTGGCGAATGAGATTTGATTTTTTTAACGAAGCGTAGCCGAGTTAAAAAAATAGTCGAGCATAGCATTTTGCGCTAGATATAAAATTAACTAATACATGCAATAATGTTACCGCTTGCGAGGTAACTGTTCCGCAAATTACGGCAAAGCAGTAGTGTTGAAAATCTACTCGCACTCATCATAACTTTCAAAGTTATGTTGGTTCGTTTATTTCTTTATCACTGCACTAATGTCGTAGCCGGAAACTCCCTGTACCTCAATACTTCCATATTTTGTGGATTATAAAATTGTACGCTCCCCCAAGTAACCTAAACGAAATTAATCAACAAATATATATACAATACTTTTATTACAATCTGGCAATAAAGTGCCTGAAAAGTGAAAACCAAACGGTTCTGTAGTGTGCAGTGCATACTTACAGAGTTCAAACATTGCAGAGACCTGTGGAGCGATCTCGAAGTTGTACCAAAATCGATTACGATATCCACCAGCCCACTGCAAGCATCTTTGGTTCTTTCGATCAGTTGCTTTTCATAAACATCTTCATTCCACTGGACTATATTGACCCTGTAATTGAAGAGTTTGGTCAAAGATGATACACATTCTAAAAAGACACCGTAAAGGTCGGTAAGGGCAACGCTCAGTTTAAATAATCCACTCCCAGCGAGCACAAAAACATCTCAGAGATGTTAAAAGTACGAGATTTCGAGACATTGAACCTCCACTGCGATGTTCTGTTCACACATGAATAGAACTATTATAGAACAGCCAATGTCCGCCACAGGCGGCAATTATCAAGATGTCCTTGATATGTCACAAAACTACCTTCTCCCTAGTTTTTTTTTAAGAATTATCAAGGACACAACAAAACATTTTCAACGCGTCTTGCGCACATTAAATCGCTGTAAAAAAACCATTTTCGAGGTACTTTTCTGAAGCCTTTTGTCAAAATGAACTTTTGCATTAGGATTCCATTTCCCTTGAATGAGAAAATGCATTAAAAATAGATTGAACATAAAAATATTTTCTTGATATGAAACTACCTTCTCAATCGGTTTCTTAATAGTGCTTACTACACACATACATATGATTGGAAATAGGTTTCCCAATTTTTGGAATGTTCTTCACAATAATGCATAATTTTGCAACTGCGGAGAAGCTATATGTGTATTGATAAATTCGTACTTTTATATATTGATTTGACTGAGGCACCGAACAGCACATCTTGCATCTGATGGTCATTATTACAAACTAAATAAGTCTTCTAACACAATAAACTTCACCAAATTCCTTTCTGTTCGTTAGCAGCGTGATGTAAGCGTGACACGTTGCAAACGCGAATGCCAATTGCGAACAAGAAGAGCAAAATCGAAAACAAATCAGATTTCATCGTATTGTGATGTGAGCATGAGACGTTGTGGTGGGGCAAACAAAGAAAGGGCACAAAAGAACAAAAACAATACTTTCAATATCCTTCTAACACCTCTTTGGGAAGTGCATATTACGCCTCAAAAAAACATCCTCATGCCTACATTTCTAAAACATCCCAAAACATCCCAGGGATACCTCTCAGTAGGCAAACAAATAAATGCCACAGAAGAACAAAAACAATACTCCAATATCCTTCAAAGACCTCTTTGGTCATGCCAACATTTTCAAAACATCCCAAAACATCCCAGGGATGTTTGTGCTCGCTGGGCTGTGGTTATCTATTCATTCATACGCCGTGGATTTTCACCGATATTTCAGAAACGAATCAGCACAGCTGTCCCAAAGCAGCATTGCCAGTTTTTACACAGTGGGTACTTAGTTTTCTATATCTAGGGTGTTTATAATCCTTAGTTTGGTCTACGGAAATGACAAGTACTGCTTAATCTGGAAAGCTCAAAGCAGATGGCACTGCGGTGAGATTGAATATCATATCAGCTCTCAATATTTGTTAATTCACTTCAGAAATTAAATCGTTCACGAAACTTCACTAATAATCGTTATTTAGATGCCCCAACGTTGCATTATTGTTACCTTCGTGTCCTTCTGAAATATCAAATGAGCCAAAATACAAGTACATCATAACTCCAATTCTTATATTTATATAATTTTCATGCATTCTATGTCATGTAGGTGACATATGACCCCAAACACACTGGTGCCGTCACGCGAGAGCAATACATCGGACATCTTTGTTTGTTTCTATAACATTTTCCGAAAATTGAAAATTGTAAGTTGTCATAGTTTGTTAATTGACACTTCTTGATGAAATTTACTTGTTCCTCTATATTTGGTACACTCGTCAATAGGGGATGTTCTTTTATATTTTTGTACCAATTTTAACAAATTCTCCGAAGACAAATAAATTCAAAAGCGATGAATTGTTGTAGTACAATTGCGGTGGCTAGGGAGAATATCATTAGAGTTTGTTGATTTTCTAATGATTTCTACGTATTTCGAATTTTATTTTCTTCTCAATAAATTTATATGTTGTTATTCATGAATGCGGTGGTTGAACGTTTTAATTACCTGCCTACCAAAACACCTGATTTTTAGAGTTTGAAAGTTGTTATTATTTTTCCTGAACCTTCCACTTGTCATTCGTTCTGTAAGCAGAGTTGAAGTCTTGTCTAGGTGTGTAAACATTTGTTTATTGATGATCCGTAATAGGTTAGAGTTATTCACTATATTTTCTGCTGATAATTTATGTTGATAAGGGTGAGCTGATTTATTATGAATAGTGAAATCAGTGTGAGTGAGATAGTGAGAAGGTTTAAAACAAATTATTGAATCATGTTTATCATGTTCATAGTTTGAAGTGTTTTTCACATTTACATATTCAGAGTTGATGAAAAAATATTTCCTTATCTTCATTAACACAATGAGTAACCTATCTCAAGGTATTCCACCGCTCGAAGTTCGATTGGATGATGTGGACAGGCTATCAGCAAATTTTTAAGATGATAGAATTGGTTGGATTCTTCAATTTCGATCGATTGAAAACATTGATTTGGATTGCATTCTCGAAATACCTAACAGTTTATAAAAACAACATGACAAATCCGTGACTGAAGAACAAAGGCAGTAAATTCAAGTAGTATAGTCTTGGCGCATATTTCAACGAATGAAAAACTTTTTTTAATATTCAGCTACTTATATCCGTAATGAGGATCTGAATGACTTCTATTTGACGGTGTACCAGAGAGAAAGATATCTCGGTTATTTCGAATGATAATAATATTGACGAAATAGTTATTTATGTACCAAGGAAAAAACTGTCGATTATAGTCGAGCCTGTAAATCGATAGCCGAGGCTAGCAATCAGGCGAGGCAATAGACAGTTTTTCGCCAAGGTGCATATTGATTTTTTTCGTCGACATCAAACACTTATATTCACACCACGGTCCTATATTCACACGTGAAATCTATCGGATTTTGCAAATAAATCCGACAACAGCAAATGACAGTTGTTGTCAACTCACTCTCCCCTCTCGCACCAGGGTTGCAATTTCAATTTCATCAGTAAATACCTTAACAAAATTCAGTAGATTTCAGTAGATCTATGCAAGATCTATTTCATGCTATACGAATTCCAAGAAAGGAAAATGAAATAAACATAAGACATCAAAAAACTATGCACTTTTAGTAAACAGAAAACTAACCTATTTCCGACAAAATAGAAACAATCAAAATAAACATTCTTATAAAAAAATAATCATATCCCAAATTCTCAATTTGAAAATACTCGCAAATATCACGAAATACAGTTACATAGGTAAGGTACTTATAAGATTTGAGTACATAAAAAACAGGAACGAATAGTAAAAATCTAGGTAAAAATGAACAACAGATATACAAAACGAATAAAAGAAAACAAGGTAAGAAACAACCTGATATAATAGAGGTATCATTAGTACCTACCTAAGTAAATTTATCACTTATTTTGTAAAATTAAATTGGAATGAGATGATTTTTTGCAAATGGTGGTTCGGAAGCATATGAGGAACAAGAATATGAAGTTAGTTTTCCTGCAAAAAATGCCTAATATGATTTAATAAATAATCGACCGCATTTATTCCAATAAAAAAGCACGGTACTGTCCAAAATGACATTCGTCTCTGAAGAACTTATATTGATGGTGATTCATACAAATCCAAATTTGGTACGAATCGCACGACGAATTGCTGAGATATATAGGGACGAGGATTGCATATAAAGTGAGATGCGCTCTTTACGCGTTTCCTGTGTTTTTTTGTGAAAAGGGCCATACACTGCGTTGTTGGTACGCTGTTTTGTTCGACGAACAAGTCTGTTCGAACAATGACGCAAAACCGAAGTGTGTGGTTGCAAAATCGTCGTTTTCGCTAGCCACATACTTCGGTTTTGCGTCATTTTTGTTCGAACATACTTATTCGACGAACAAAACAGCCCATCAACAGCGCAGTCTATGGGCTCCTTTACGGGATTGAGAAAGGCAGCAAGCAAACATATCAAAGCGGCTGACTTCGTATTTCGTACGATATCCTTGCGTAATAGATAATGATATGCTATATATTTCGTCTTTTCGTAGGAAATATATTGTATGTAGAACGTCCCTAAAGTGTTTTTTTCACTCATAGGAAATGCCGCACTCCGCCTTCGGCGTCGTGCGTCAACATTTCCTACTTATAAATAAAAGTACGCACTTGTTACATAAATACCTAAGAGAGTCGAAGTGTTGCCATGAACGTTAACGTAAACGTATAAATTGATGCAGGCTCATTTTCCAATTCTTCACGTTTGCGTTGGTAGTACCAAACCATACTCGAAATATGCCGATGAGTCAAAATTATCAAATTCGGGATACCCAAAGGGTTCTGCATCAAGGAGTCCTGTCAACTCAACATAAATGAATGTTCGGATCTAAACACACAACCAAAAATGACCAATACAAGTCGAAAACAAAATGTATTATTACGTTATGATGACAGTGACGACCAAAGTGACGACTTCAACTCAATTTAGTGACAATACTTGATAGTATATTGTCACGAGTAGAACATTCGGTATATTAGTAATTTCGAACCATGAGGGTCTTATGAACATAAAGTTAATCAAATCATCCTTTGACATTGAATTAACTGACCAAGGCACTCTCATGAAAAACGTGCGAATCTAATAAATTGATGTATATAAATATTGGATATGAGGGTTCTGAAGTTAGTCTGGTCTGGGGCTACTCTTGACTTGACAAGAACTCTTCCAAATTGTCATTACCCAGACAGCACTGGATATTCATAGAATATTCTCTGAATATGCTAAAAAGGAGGAGTATATTCCGAATATTCATCGATTATTCCTAGAATATATACATGCCTCTGGAACATCTGAAAGGAATATTCCAAAGTGAATAGTCGGACATGTTCAGGGAATATTCAGGTATGAATCTTCCAGGAATATTCCTAACTGAATATTCTCTGTTGTATATTCATGAAATATACCCAACTGAATATTCTGTGCGATATATTCATGAAATATACCCAACTGAATATTCTGTGCGGTATATTCATGAAATATTCTCAACTGAATATTCTGTGGTGTATATTCATGAAATATTCCATGAATATTCCTACATGTTTCTCAACACATAAATACCATTTATTATTTCAGAGATGTGAGTATCGAACATCAATTTGATGTAAGGGGATTCTGAAACAAAAAGTGTTTATGATCCGATTTCGAACAATGCTCTCACAAGAACTTGATATGTATAACATTATTCAATTCGATCACTGGCCTAGTGGTCAAGGCGTTGCTCTGATAGTCTTGAGGTCACGAGTTCGATCCCTACCTGGGTCACTTTTTTTTATTTTAGAATATGTTTATTGGAATATTCCAGGAACATTCAACATAGAATATTCTTTTGGGTATATTCTATGATTATCTGAGGAATTCCCATTCGCATATTTAGAGAATATTCCACAGATATTCCGGAATATTCCAGATCATTTCTAGAATATTCCAATATTCCAAAAGGAATATGATAGGGAGATTCATGGAATATCTGGTGCTGTCTGGGTATAATGTAAGTTGTCATCAGGTCATTATATTCATTGTTGTTTATCCATATTTGTCATTGCTACCCATAATGTTTCATGCTTCAATAAATATTGTTATGTTTGAATATTTTATAGTCTCATACTTTCAGCTACCCCTGAACTGTTATAGTGCCTATTGGAATATTACCTCTCGCAAACTATTAAGCCAAGCAAACGCCTTCTAATTCGATATGGATGGACTAAACATATTTTTCATCGTGACATGGTGGAAGCCTCTGCATATCGTGACAATATTACTCACCGAGGTGGAAAGAGAGGACTGAAACTTCCTGCCGAGGTTTGTATGCTATTTGATATACAACCATCATATTCCGATCAAAATTAATAAATATCTGTTTCGTTCTGAACATACCTAAAATATCACATAAGTGAGGGCGGGAAGTAGAGGTTTGTGACTTCCTAACCTTCAATGACGTTAGTATTGCCAACAATACATACAGGGTGTCCCGTAAAGACCATGTCAAACCTAGGGAGAATGTAGATCAAAGGATAACCCACATGCATATGACAAAATTCCTATTATGACGGCTTACCGTTTTCAAATTTTTTTTTTCTTTGAAAATATCCACTACCAAAGTTTTCAATAAAAATATTTTCCACAGTTCCCCTTTAAAATGTACGGAGAATGTTACGTATATAATGTATACGTTGAAATCATGCTTCAGCAACATTTACTGGAAAAATTAACCAAAAAGGTGTAAAATTGTACCAACCGTACAGACAAAACTATTGAAAGGGAAAAATTCAATATTTTCAACAACAAAAATATCGCGAAAACGGTAAGACTTTTATCCTTTGAGCTACATTCTCCCTAGGTTTGACGTGATCCTTACGGGGCATCCTGTATATGGTTGTAAATAAACATTACAACGTCTTCGTGGAGGTCTACGTACAGTGATTAGTACTTCAACTATTTGATAGAGGTGAGTAGTCTGAAAGCAAACTCACGATTTTAGTGCAGCTGCAGCAAGCACCAGCCCTTCGTTCTTCAACGCGGCAACAGTTATCTTGACTCTGTCACGGTGTTCGGGAGTTTTGAAATGGTGTTCCGCGATCCTGATAGCCCACAGGGCCAGCCCTCCGGTACCAACGATCAAGATCCTGACCATCTTGTCGGCTGCTCGGCTCTCCAGCAATTCCACCTGTAACAGCCAAACTGCATTTCAAAAGCTATCATCAGATTGTATCGAATAAATTTCTACGGTTAGAATGAAACGTCAAAATCAACATTCGGAGCGTAAGAGCGACTTGGAAAATAGAGAGATGAAGAATCGTAGTTCAAAAAACTAAAGAAATACGCTTTTATAGAAAGCCAAACTGAAAAGAAGAAGAAAACGAGATGATAAAAGTGTGTTGATAAATACACAACATAAAAAATATTAGCACCTCCGTAATCAGTATATTATTCTATGTTGTGTATTTATCAACACACTTTTATTAGCAGAAAGAAAAACATTTCTACAAGTTTTCAATGAAGTTATTGAGAAACTATAGTTTCGGGTATATATTTACAGGGTGTTTCAACAAAACCTGGCCTCCTCGATAGGGAAGGTGGAACACTTTCAAAATAAGTTGGGTTTGCTTAGTAAAGAAATGTCAGCGGCATTCGATGCAGTGTTGACAAGCTGTTTTTTACTAATTTGTAATGATGATGTCGAAACTACTGGCAACATTGTGATGAAATTTTGTATGGATGTGCTTTGGAAGCTGACACATCACATGAATTTGTTTTTATATCTGACTCTCATAGCGCTACTCACACGGTTCGTATCAATTCATTTTGTTCCCCTACCACCCCACTTATGGGACACCCTGTATATTGATGACATTTACTACATCAAGGAATATCAAATTATCTCAACAGTACACAGTTGCATATATGCCAGGAGTTAGAAGCGATTTCACCATTGTTAAACGTTAGATGATGACCGTGAAATATGCGCCAATAGAAGAGTTTGCCGCAGAAGGCTATGTTAAAATGTCTTCTGGAATGGGTTTATATCACAAAAAAATGTTATTTCATAATTCGATAGAACTCACCCAAACTAGCTCACTACCGCAAACCGTTTCTTGCTGTGAGCTTCCTACGTTTTTTATAAAATTATTGAAATCCCCGATTTTTCGGACCTCTGAAAACGAGGCGATGATGTGACGTCAAAACCCTAATATACTGAAACAAGACTATTTCAGACAGAGATGAATGATACATGATTTCTGACAGAGTGAATTAGCGCGAGATCACAGTTGAAAGAATATATAAGAATATAATAAATCAGTTGCCTCAGTCTCCGACGGGCGTTATTAAAAATATCTACCAGCTCTGATTGTAATAACCATTATAAGGAAATCTCCTATTCCCGATCATTTTATTATTACAACAGTATTCTCTCCATTCTGTAATTATAAAAATCGATTTCTTAAATCATTTGTAATACCCTTGAATGGACATTTGCTACCATTATAACGCAGGTGTGTTATGACATTATGAGAATTTTATAAATACCAGTCTATTTAGATTTTTTATTGACATAGCTCGTTTTGTGAGAGAGAGAGAACATCTTTATTAGGGATATACCCCAAAAGGCCATTGACCGAAGTCTTTCAGCCCAATCGTTTTGTGAATTATGCTCATTGGTGAATTCAGATAATGTTTGTCCCAATAATCATAGCTGTTTGGGTTTCTAGCATTGTACGTTGACGAATAACTCTAGCAATTCGCATGTATGACGGTTATTAGGCAATCATTCGACAATCGTAATTCGGCTCATTTCGCTCTATACCTTTTCAAGTTCAAATTGAGACTTATCAATTTCAAATTGGGATTAATCACATCCAAATTGGTAAACATATTCAAAATGAGAATAAACACAATCAAATTGAGAATAATCATTTTCAAATTCAGATTAACAGTTTCAAATTGGGAATTAACACTATCAAGTTGATTAACACAATCAACATAAGAATAAACTCATTCAATTTGGGACCAAACAACTTCAAATTGGGAAACGACAACTGCAAATTCGAATTGTCAAAATTGTGTCAAAATCGAGATTAATTATCAGCGATCATTCATCTTACCTGATATTTTATATAGTTGATATGCCTCACATAAAGAAAAAGGATGCAGACAATATTAGAAAACAAATTTGTGCAGTGTATAATAATAATGGTGATTGGAGGGGACTGGCAGATACACTCGGCGTAAAAAAAGCAACGGCTTATCGATGGGTAAAGAATCGGGACGAAATAGAAAAACAACGGGGAGGAAGAAGGAGGAACAAAATTACTGAAGAACATCACGACATTATTGTTCAGTATATTGAAGAAAACCCCAGGCTCACATTGAAAGAACTGAAACACAAATTCGAGGAAATCCATCAAATTATTGTTTCAACTGAATGTTTACGAAAACATTTAGATTTTTTGTTGTATACACTGAAAGATATTCGTAAAGAACCCGAGAGAACCAATTGCGAAGAAAATAAAATAAGACGACGTGATTATGTACAGCAACTTTTGAATTATCAAGGGGATAACATTCCAATTATATACATGGATGAAACCAACTTCAATTTATTTATTTCCCGAAGACAAGGACGCTCTAAAAAAGGAACCCGTTGCAGTTACATTTCAGCTGGTAGCCGTGGGGCAAATATCCATGTCATAGGTTGCATAGGTAATATGGGATTGATTCACCACGAAGTAAAAAGAGGTGCTTTCAGAAAGCAAGATGCTCAAGAATTCATTCGCAATTGCTTGCGTACTGCTCGAGATATGTACCAGACGCCTGTAGTGCTGGTGGTGGATAATGCTCCTTGCCATACTGACTTAGAAGAGGTATTTCGAGAGGAAGAGTTTACAGATCACCGATTATTGAGGCTGAGTCCGTATAGTCCAATGTTCAATCCCATTGAACTAGCATGGTCCAGTTTGAAAGCTGCTGTTAAGCGAGATTTATCTGTGCAGTTGCCGCAAATTTTAGTTGGAGAAGATAGGGCAAATATAACTCAAACTGAGTATCGTCTTCGTCAACTGGAAAACATCATACATGAAAACATTAATTCAATTAATATTAATAATTGCGCTAGATATGTGGCCCATGTTCAAAGATTCATTCCTGATGCTTTGAATTTAATCGATATGATAATGTGAATTTTTTTTTTTCTATGAAAATGTATTCTTTAGAGTCGTTTGTTAATTAATATCATGTAAGCTATAATATTATTATTCAATATAAGTAAAAATACAAATTCGACAACTCTGTTTTTATTGAATTTCGTGTTTGGTATCATCAACAGGTTCGCTATCGAATTGAACAATTCCATATTGTTCAGTTCCGATTTGAAATTGATTAGTTTCAATTTGAATTTGTTTAGTTTCAATTTGGATTTGTTTAGTTTCAATTTGGATTTGTTAAATCCGTGCCTAATCATCTCGTCCCAATTTGAATTTGATTATTCCCATTTTGAAAGTGATTAGTCTCAATTTGAATTTGTTTATTTTCAATTTGGATGTGTTAAATCCACGCCGAATCATTTTGTCTCAATTTGAATATGACTATTCCCATTTTGAAAATGATTAGTCTCAATTTGAAGTTGAAAAGGTATAGTGTTGGGGCTGATAAAGATACAGATCGCGTTCATTTCACTGCTGTTCTCGGTCATGGGTGCCCGTGTTCAATTATTGTTCAATGGTTTCGATCGTCCGATTCGATAGAGCCGTGTCTTGTAGGTGAATGTCTGTGATGTAGCAAAGTTTTGTTTTAGTGCTGGCTGTGAACCGATCTGTGAAATACACCGTGCATTGCATTATTGCAATGGAAAAAGTATTCTCCATACCCACTTTTCACGGCCTAAAATTGGTTTATTTCAAAAACAAAATGATCGATGAGATTCTGAATCAAAATATCTGGGTTTCTGTGAGGAAAGTTGAATTGACAATTCTCATCATAACTCCGAAGGAAGGGTAAATATAAGTATTCAACTTCTCATTTCTTAATAAATTCGTCAGTAATGCATATAGATGATATTTCTCCGAAAAAATCAATGAGTAATGTCAAAAAACTTCCACAGATACCCAAATATTTCAATTCAGAGACTAAACGTATTTTTTCGTTATTTTGAAAACAATAACTTTGGATCATGAAAAGTGATAGTGTGGATAGGATATTTATTTTCATTGCAGTAATTCAAAGCACGGTTTCATAATGCATACCATCGAATAATGTTGATTAGATAACCTTATTACCACTGTTTGATAAATATACTAGAGTAGAAAAATATTGGGATTACTGTTGAAAATGAGCTACATTACAATAGCATGTCAAAATGTCAGGTTTCATACAGATATCAGATAACTATAATAAATTGAGACGAATTACTGCGTTACCTCAAGATGGTTGTGCCAGTAATAAAAACATGCTGTTTTATGTCGATAGTCTAATAACCACTGTAGAGTGGAGAGTTACTGCAACATTTTATGGGAATAATTCCTATTCGACATTCTGTGTTATCATAGAAACTAGAACAAGTAGTAGTTATTCAGCAGCGGTGTTTTTATACAAGTTTGCAAATTGAATAAGCTGCCATAACTACAAGTCACCTGAAAATTAACTTCATCTATGGTAGCAAATGAACACATCTGTCCCCTATTTATTGCAGATATCGTAATAACGGTTATCAGATTTCCAATTATGATAACTCAAGTTTTCTCTCAGTGTATGGCAAGATGAGGTTTCTACGTCATAAGAGGGCCAGTTTTCAGAAGGTGCTATTATTTATGTCTAAAAATAAAACATTCCAGTTAATTTTTCGATCGAATTATGTCGTCAATCATTATGTATGTATAAAAGGATCATTATAAACATGGTTTGAGTTAAAAGTTCTACTAAGGTGTACACGCCCATTGCAGAGTTTTTAATTGGTGTTTTTTGAAGTATTACGGCATATTTTAGCAGAAGAATTTATGCATTCTTGTTATATTATATTTCGATTATATGCACATTCAAATCGAATTCAAGCATATGTGTTCTTGTCTACTGCGCTAATGCCAAGTGGAGAACCTGTCAAGGCGACGTTAGGAAACAATAAAGAGGCTATATTATATGTACCTGGCAGTGGTACTCGATTCGTTATTATGATTACAATATCAGATAATCTTTTGTTTTTCACCCAACTTACAGTGACTGTTTGCTCGAGGGGGTGCATTTTAGGACACATCATTACATGAAGAAAAAGTTTTATCTTGATCCCAACCATACGGCTTTAAGATAATTACATCGATTTTGAATCACCCTGTATATGGAATAGGTAGTTTTTTTTCTTATTTGTCTCATTCCCCCAAAACTAGTCGCTTAAATCCAACAAAATAATGCAAAGATTTTCATTTTTCTATTTTTCAGTAACTGAACTAGTCGAATTTTTTATTTTCGTTATTTTTTTGTTCCTATTTCGATGTTTTTATCTGTTGATATGTGATATATTATTCGATTATTTTTCAATACTTCTCCTTCATTTTGTTATTGGTGCCAAATGAAGCACACATCTATAAAAACCAATGTAAGTTACATATTGCTTTTCTCATTAATAAATATTGGATATTGAACCGAGTCCCCCCCCTCCTCCAGGGATGAATCTTAATCACGCCACTGGTAGCTGGACATATCGATGGATATATTGGATAAAGGGAGAGAGCGTTTCACTACGTTATGATTATATATGATAAACCTTCACTTTCATTCGTCAAGAACAATTTTTCAAATTTAGTAAAGTGTTGTTTGTTTTTTCATTGGGGTTGATTTTCTTTCTCGTTTATTTTGTGTTTTATTTTTCTCCATATGGTAATAATTATATTATAAATATCGCAATTTGATCTAAGTTTCTCTTGAAGCCATGCATTAATAGTTATTTGTTTTACTAGACTGAAAAGCACAAGATTTAATGCCGCGGCTGGAATTTCATAGCCAAGGCGTAGTCGAGGCTAGGAAGCCAGCCAAGGCATTAAATCTGCTTTTCTGCCTTCTGGAACATATAATTTCTTATCCAAATTCATCCAATTTCACGCCGAATAATCCATCATTTTGTGTTCACTCAACGTCAGTGTCAATTTTGATTACCAATTTGATTCGAATTATTTCTTGGAACGTTGCATAGCAAAAAACTTTTTATGCCTAGGCCGTAAAAGTACCGTTTTTCTGCCTGTTGAGTGTCATTAAGAAGCCACTTTTTATGTCATTTGGAGAAAAATAGTAGATTGTTTTATTAGGATCAAAAGTGACACTTTGTTCGACAAGCAAATTTTGCATTTGCGAGGCGGAGCGTTTAGCGAAGCCGAGCGAAAGCAAAATTTGCGAGTCGAACAAAGTCACTTTTGATCCGAATGAAACATGCTATTTTTTCTGCAACCGAAACAATTAACTCAAATAAACATGTGAAGTAACCACCAATGCCGTGCCATATGTATGCAATGCAACAAATATTGACAAATAATCCGTGTGGTGAGAATATTCTACCTGCATTAACAGCGCAGGTTAGGTTTTCAAGGATGTTCGAATTGTAGTTTCAATATAAATACAACCACAGAGTGACATATTTGTGTATGAACCAGGTGCTCTAATGGCAAATACCGCGCCAGTGCCAGCTATAGGAACAAGACGTGGAACATGTTAGGTTAGTGAGCATATCAACAATGATATTAGTGATTATTTATTTCTCTCCATACTACACAGTGTTTGACTTGATAATCAAATGAAGCTGAACAATATCGTTTTTTGAGACAAAAAAAAATTATACTTGCCGTGATTATTCAAAAACAAGTTATCCATCCCGAGAATAACGAATGAAATACAGATCAAGCAAGTATTTAAATCTTGAAGGCTTCCCTGATCAAAACAAAAATACTAAACTAAGATGTTTATAATTCCAATACTAAACTACAATAATAAGGTGAATTCATATCTCCAGCATGGGTATGAAATGCCAAATCTGCTGAAATCGGAAACAAATCAGGTATGGGTCTCAACCCAAATAACCAACCGTCACAATGTTGTTTATTCTTGATGACGTCCAGTAGATCCTTTTTAGTTCCTAGGAGCTAAAGTTCAACTTTAGCTCCTAGGAACTAAAATTCAACTTTAGCTCCTAGGAACTAAATATGTTGCCTAGCAACATACCTATTTTTGTGTCAGTAATAGAAACGTCAATTTAAGAGCTAATTTCGGTATCAAAATGGACGACTTTTGTGTCGGTTGCAGAAAAATATAATTTGTCCCTAAAATATACCCTAGATCCAAACAAATCTGCTTAACAGCGGTACCGGGCTACGAACATGTGCATCTCGGACCAGTAGCCGTTTTAGAAAATCTGAGTATATCCCTCCTAGGTGCAGATAAACACTAGAGCTGGTGGCAGCGGACTACAGAGTCTGAAGGACTTCAAGGCTGTCCTGAAGTCCTCTATCATCGGCGTACGAAACGGGTCAGTAGTCTCATCAGAACTGAGGCACGGGACAGCAATGGAGAGTTTTTGTTAGATGGAGTTCGATATTTGAACCAGTTTGATTCCATAGTTATCTACAACTATCCTCATAAAGAGGGTATATGCGACTGAGATTAAGATCGTATAGCGCCAGAACGGCGAATGTCAGTACTACTACTACTCTATGGGCCATTGGCGGAATCTTCACATATTGTTCGGTAATGGGGTTTACGTTCATTTCGTTTTGATATTTCAATCGTTTAGCTTCGTTTTTTGTGTATTTTTGAACTTTGTGTTTTCCAGTGGTTTATATTATGCTTTGATTGAGGATAATATAATATCTGTTCGACAATATAGATAACCTACCTACCTCTAGTTGAAATGTATAGGTACCAACATACGTTAGCTGCAAGTTCTCATTCTTAATGATTTAGCTTGTATGAGATATGATCAAATAGATGGCTGGGATATTCCTCTGATAGCGTAATATTTTTGGAAGGAAATACCTACCTTTTTGGAATGAAATGTTCTTTCGAAGGTAAAGTTATGTACCTATTTTTTACTTGACTTTTTACAACACAATAATCAAATACCTCTATTCATATTCATGATACAAAAACTTACTTTTAAAAATGTATCATTTTACGGGTACAGAGTAGGAATAAGACTATCATAGAAGCTCTCGAAAAAATTACTTTTATGTAGTCCAAGGAAATGGTGAATTTAGTTGAAGAAGCTGTTATGGGCAGATACTATTGGGGGCTAGCTCTACTTTTGATCTGAACAAGACATTTTTTGTTATATATTCATCTTTTAATGATATTATTTGGAATTCATTTTGGTTATGGATAGACTTTGATTTTGAGTTTACGAAGAAAATGTTATGTTATCAAATAAAATTATTTTAATAAAATATGTTAAATCCTTTATGTGAAACCCAAAGGGTTGATACAATTCTTTACTATTTATAAATTTCACTGTTCATCAGTAATATCATGATTAAAGATATAATCAGTTGATAATTTGTTTGTTTTATATCATTACCCCAAGGAGAGTACTCAGGTTTAATATTCATAATAGAAATATCGTATATGAAAATATATGATTTTGAAAAGGAATGAAAGCTATATTCGAGATTTTTTGCTCAATATGAACAATGGTGTTCACAACAATTATAACCAATGTTTTTAAACGTTTATGAAAGTTCTCAAACAAAATTATAGATGATTAAAACACAACTACTTTTCATAAGAAACACGTGCAAATTGATGTGAACAAAGCAATCAATGGCCCATACGTTTGTTATATTAGAAAACGGTAGAGGACGTATTCCTTAGCAAGTTTCCCCTATAGACTATAGAGTTTACGCACCACGTGCTGGTGAGCAGTGATGACCGCATTCTTGGCCAAGAGGGCGCCAGTAGGCAGCATGGCTGCCACGCCCAAGGGCAAGTTGTCCGGCACGGACACGAGGTAGGACAAGGATGGCACGACGATGTATTCTGCGTAGCCATGCGGGATTCCATCGTAGGGGTAGATCACGACTCGCTTTCCGACAGCGAACTGGTGATCTGCCACCGCAGACACTTCTTCCATCACCTTGAAGACATAAAAATACTATTTAGACTGAATATCAGGGTGAATACCATATGAGTGCTCGCAATAATATCGATAGCGAGATGATTCCTCTGGTGTCCCACTCTTCAATTGTTTCGTTATACTAAAGTTGCGTTTCATTTATCCGATTCCGCCACCGGAATCACTTGATGTGTCGTTTTATTTGCAATTTTCCTGATTCCGGCTGCTTCTTTTCATAACGTGTCCATCCCCTACAAGGAATGACTGGGAATGACTGTTGTAAGTCAGAGGCGGACTGGGGGGCCGGGCGGTCGGGCGAACGCCCGATGGGCTGGGGCCCTTTGGGGACGGTAGAAATAGTGAATGAATAAAGGAATATATGTCTTCTCGACAGCTTCTTGAAGTATGAGACCATTATAACTGCAATTTTGATTAGAGAAATCTTCAATTTCACCACTCTTCTTTCGAGCTAACTACGAATATCAGGTACCAATGGATATTTTAGAAGCATACCGAATCGTCGAGAAAAACATTGAATCCTTGAAAAAATATCGCGAAAACACGAATTAAAAAAAGTTTTTTTGATGAGAAAGGTGATGAAAATTAAAAAAAGTTTTTTTGATGAGAAAGGTGATGAAGAAGCACATCAAAATCCCATCAAGAAATTTAAAATTGAGACTTTTAATGTAATCATTGATAATATTATCACCGCACTGGAATTTAGATCAAGAAACATGAAGAACTGTTTCATGATTTCGAAAACTCAATAATGATGATTTATGGAAATATCAAAAATTATTATCCTGCTGATGAAATAAGCCTTGATAGATTTTACCTCGAAGTGGGAAGACTGTCGAGTACTTTATCAGAAGATATGATGGTTGGTGGAACTTATGTCTTCGATGTAGAAGTGGAATTGATTTCATAAAAACACAAGTTTCGCAAAACATTTTCACTTTGTTGCTTCTATGGTTTGCACAAATACAATTTATACGTTGGGATCTATCCATATTCAGATAAAATTATTCTCACCCTTTCAGTATCGCAGGTTTCGTGTGAAATATTTTTCTCAAAATTAAAACTTATCTTGATTAGGCTAAGAAATTATCTGAGTCAAGAACATTTGGGGGCTTTCATCATGATGAGCTGCGAAAAAACGATTTTACAATCAATAAGAATCGACGATATCATTTTCGCTTTCGTTGAGAAATGTGGATCCATGAGAGGTTCACTAGTTTTTTTAATTTCGATATCTAATGCGGCTTATGTTTAATATTGGATAAATAATTTTCCTAGTCTTTTTGTAGCTTTAATATCATTTAAAAAGTATGTTCCTTTACCATAGAATTATCGTTTATTCTACCTATTCTTATTTTTCATTCATAGAATGTTATTCATGTTATTCATTTCATTTTGTTTTCAGTATATTTGTAATTTTTAATTTTTGTTTTCGTTTTTGTCTATGTCACTAAAATATGTAATGAAATTATATGAATAGCTATATTAGCTTTGAGATTTTCTCTGGAGATGGCCGGTAGGGTTCAATTCGCCCGGGCCGATTCAAAGGTCAAGTCCGCCCCTGTTGTAAGTTGTCAAAAAAATTAATAAGATTGGCAAAAATCAGAACTTTTTGAAAGTAGAAGACATTTAGAAGACATTTTTATCGTGGGATTCACAAATTCATGATTCTTTCAAGTAAGACAGGTTCCATATATGTTCATTTACAGATGAAATAAATTATCTCGATCTCAGAGAAGTTTCTCCAATTACCACAATCACTGCTCCAAATATGCGTTGATTCATTTTCTATATTCTTAACTCCAGTATTTTGCTTATGAAATTATTCGGTGCTCCAATCCTAATATATAAATATATCCTCCATCATCTATAGTTGCATTTTATTTGTTTACATATAAAACGAGAAAACCTCATGAACCGTGCATAAGAGAATTGATATATTATAGATGATGGAGGTTATATTTATATATTGGCCATTGGAGCTCCGAATAATTTCATAATCATAATAATAGAGTTAAGAATCTAGAAAATGAATAAACGCATATTTTGAGCAGTGATTGTGGTGATTGGGTAGAAACTTCTCTGAGATCAAGAGAATTCATCTTATCTGTGAATGAACATATATGAAACCTGTCTTTCTTGAAATAATCTCAAATTCGTGAACATTACGATAAAAATGTATTCTTTCTAAATATTTTCTACTTTCAAAAAGTTTCGATTTTCGTCAATCTAATTGAATTTTTCGACAAGTGTCAACAGTCATTCCTAGTCATTCATTGTAGGAAGACGGAATGAAAAGTAGCAACCGGAATCGGAAAAGTTGCAAATAAAATGACACATCAAGTGAATCCGGTGGCGAAATTGGATAAATAAAACGCAATCTATATGTCAATTCTCTTATGCAAGGTCAGGAAGTTTCTTGTTTTATTTGTAAACGGGATTCTGTTCCCACCACCGCTACCAGAATGGAACAAATAAAACGCAACTCATCTCTCGATATGAACAATTGAATGAGAGTACGGAACGTGGGGTTCTTATATCCAATGATAGATGGGGTGAACGATGGGCAAATTCAAGGAAAATTTCAAAATGCTTATTAGGAAGTTGAACTAGACTTTCAAGGATGTGTTCTCCTTCTTCTGGGACCCGAAGAGTCCCGTTGATGATAATAATAGCATAATTATAGAGAAAAGACGTAAAAGATACAGGACGCAACAATAAATAATCCGTGTGGATGTGGATCGTGATCTTGATCCGTTGATCGTGATTCAACATATCTGTCAGGAGTGCCACGTTTTTGGCATATTCATGATATTGTTCAAATTTTCGAATAGAAATATTACAAATTCTTATGAATAATAATTTATAAGAATATTAGTATAGTTTATTAAGCAGGTATATTGATATTATATTAGGTAGTTGAGTGAGTGTATTGTGTTGTCATCATGGTCTGTCCGTGATGCGATCACAGCTGCGATGTGTGAGGATTATTTGAAAATCAGAACATTCGTTTTATTTTATGTACCAAATGTGAGCGAATAAACTATTATCACAGAATTTTCTTGAGTTATGACTTCGTGTCGTTCATGAATTCAAAAGTCGAAAATATTACGCACTTTTTCCATTTACACAGAAAAAACGAAAATGAGAATATGAACTCGAATGAATGTGTCATGATGCCTGCGAATTCGGTTTGAAACTTTGGAAATTTAGGGAGATGTTCTCAGACCTCGCTATTTCTTCAAAGTAGGCGATATCGAGAGATTTCGAAACTTCTTTCAATTCATTTTCATTTGACTTATTTCTATACATCTATATCGATAGTATTGTGAGCACGAATTGAATTCATTATTGAGACAATTCCACGACCTACATGAAACTATCTTCTTCAAGCCATAAGGACCATCGTAATATCGACGCCCAACATTCTGATTGGTTCTTATATCGCAGGAGATTGCAGTTTCATGTACGACGCAGAATTATCAATTAGTGATAGCTTATAGTCAGCTTATAGCTTATGGGTCCCTCATAAAAGATTTTCTGTAAGGAATTCATACACCAGATGTACCTAGACAAAAATTTCCGACATATAGAATTTCGAATCAGATCCAACTGGCCACTACATTGATTCGTTCCCATCAGTGATGAGCTTATACATGTTGCATTATTCAAAACAAACTCTTAAACAATTTGAAAAATGATATAATTTCGACACGTCGCAGATCGTGTTCAGATATCGCATTGACCTACCCTGACCACGTTAGATTTAGAGACAAAATCGCTGAGACGGCAACACTGCACGTAAATTGTGATCGAGGTAAACAGTCTGCGAGAGGGGAAAAAGTTGAATAGTTGATCATACATCGCGTGTATTTGTTGACCTTTGTGCTGGTCGACTGGTTGGGGGAAATATACACGTCTGGCAAGGATAATTTCTTTATAGACAAACCATATGCATGAGCATTTTAATGAAGAGAGAAAAAAGCGACGTTGCCATAAGCTTCGTTTTGCGTCATCCCCTACTTCGAGCGAGTACATTTTTCGGCCCGACCGAAGAGATTATCGTTATCATACTCAAGTAGGTGATGCAACGACGCTTTTTTCTATCTTTGTTGAATATCCATCAATCAATGAGTACCCATATTCATTTCCTCACACGGGTTTGTCTATATAGGGAAATTATTCTTACCAGACGTGTATATTCTTATGTTAAATAAATATCTTTGAGAAATCCGAGTGGTGGTACTTTTGAAAACATATTTAAATCAGGGTACTTGATAACAAATATTATTTCAGTGGGGTCCCAATAAAAGGACCCACCATGTTGATCTTGGTTGCCGGAGAATGGGCGGATACTTGGAACTGCGGGGTAAATTGAAACAAAATTTCATACTTTCAAATTACCTTCTGAAATCTACAGCTGATTAAATTCTGAATCATATCGTCTCGAGCATAGTTGTTATCAATATGGTTATATTCTAGTCGATTAAAAATGAGGGAGTTTAAATATTGTTTTAAGAATGTTGTTTATCATATTGATAGTTTCAAGAAGGAATATGACAGAAAAAATGAGCATTAAAAGATTCAAGTCTTGGAACAGGCGCGAATGATTGTAAGTACCTGAGTGTGATATTGACATTAAACAGGGTGGGCAAAATTGGGCGTTTTCACCGTCTATCTCAATAACTAGAGGAGTTATCGAAAAACCGATATACATGTTCCGGGTTCGATTTTGAAGAAACCTCGAATGGCACAATCAAAATTGAGATGTCTTCATTCGTTTTAGAGATACAGGGGGAAATTGAAAATTTGCCGATTTCGATTTTATTTTCTGACTACTTTACGGTGAGAGGTATCATAAAATTCCAAACGTATATTTATACAGTATGATGTGTGGAATCCATTGGCATCATCAGAAATTTTATACAGGGTGACGTTTAAAAGATACGGCAGCCAATTATGTTTTTTCTAATGGAACACCCCGTATATTTTGGCACAATTGAATAGTCCCAGGCGTTCTCATTACAAATATATACATAACCCTACTTTTTCCTTCCACAATTTCAGATATATTCGTAAAAATATATTCATTGTGTCACATTTCTTATGGTTACACCCCCGTATCTTCTATATCTGGAATTTGGACATCTTCTATAAGGCTATGTTTTTCAACGCAACCAACTGATTTTATAATTGAGTAAATTATTGGTCTTATTTCTGTATCTCAAATGTCTTGATAACAATGATATCAAATCGAATAATTTCCCATTTTATTTCTCACCAAATATCCATTTGTCTGGAAATAACATTCCCTATGATTTTTATTTTCCACCTTTGGTGAATATATACAGAGTGTCATTTTCAACCTCGATTCTGCCTGTTGATAGCATTATCCAGAAATATCGATGATTCCATAGCTGCTGGCGAGCAGTGTTATCATTGGAGATGATCCCACTTGGTCCATGACTCCATGAGTGTATCATTATTGTATCTTTCTGACAGTTGCGAATTTCTGAATCCTACCTCAATTATTTTTACAGAAGATACGGGGGTGTAACCATAAGAAATGTGACACACTGAATATATTGTTGCGGATATATCTGAAATTGTGGAAGGAAAAGGTAGGGTTATATATATATTTGTAATGAGAACGCCTGGGACTATTCAACTGTGCCAAAATATACGGGGTGTTCCATTAGAAAAAACATAATTGGCTGCCGTATCTTTTCAACGTCACCCTGTATAAAATTTCTGATGATGCCAATGGATTCCACGCATCATACTGTATAAATATACGTTTGAAATTTTTTGATACCTCTCACCGTTAAGTAGTCAGAAAATAAAATCGAAATCGGCAAATTTTCAATTTCTCCCTGTATCTCTAAAACGAATGAAGATATCGAAATTTTGATTGTGCCATTCGAGGTTTCTCCAAAATCGAACCCGGAACATGTATATCGGTTTTTCGATAACTCCTCTAGTTATTGAGATAGACGGCGAAAACGCCCAATTTTGCCCACCCTGTACATACCTGATAAGACCTTCCCTCCGTTCACCACCCCAAAACAAACTCCCCACCAACACCACCAAAATTTATTTTTGAGTTTTTTTTTTAATAAATGAGATTTTCCTAGTCCTTTCTGCTGTTAGGAATTATATTCGAGAGATTTTTACATTTATTTATGAAATGCATTCATAACAATGCTATGTACATAGCTATGTATAATGTATTCTCTTAGAAATATTCCATTTATTGGATTAATTGATCACAATTGATTCCGAGGATTGATTCAGATATCTCTAAAAAATATAGGTATCTATGTACCCAGTATGCCCAAACGGCATACAAGAAGCCATCGATACTGTGTCCCCCGGAAAACTGTAATCATCCCTTTTACCAAAAGGCAAAAGCTATAGATAAGCTTCGTCAGCCTTTCCTATATGGAGAGAGCATTCCGTTTGCGGCGGAGGTGAAATATCTAGGGGTCACCCTAGATAAAAGACTCACCTTGAACGCCCATATGGCAAAAACTATTAAAAAAGCCAGACTTCCCCTCTGGAACCTCAGAAGGGTATGCGGCAAATCATGGGGAATGAACCCCAAACAGATTTAATGGTCACGTATGGCTCGGTAGTCTGGTGGACTAAAGGTCCGCAGGAAACAGCCAGGGCAAAGCTTGCTGGTCTTCAGCGGCTGGCATGCCTGGCCATTACAGGGGCGATGTCCTCTACTCCAACGGCAGCGATGGAAAACCTCCTGAACATCACTCCCCTCCACATTGTCTTGGAGAGGGAAGCCAGGATGGTTTCCTACAGATTCCTGTCATTGGAAAATCAAATTAGAGGGGGGCGACTGCTGGACCACTCCGGGATACTGTGTGAAACAAAAAATCACCAAACTCTAGGAATGGTTCCCGACATGTTGGCCACTCAGACACACGTGAAAAAGTCTTTCAAAGTCCTCTTCTCGAAGAGAGACGAATGGGCAAGTGGATCAGTCCAATTCCCAGAGACCGAACACGTGATGTACACAGATGGTTCGAAAACCCCTCTTGGAGTTGGAGCCGGTGTGTTCAGCAGAAAACCGAAGACGGAAATCTCCCTCAATCTCGGCAAATATGCTACAATCTTTCAGGCGGAGGTATTCGCAATTGAATTGTGTGCTAGAGAGTTGTCGAATAAACCTCTAGTAAACAAAAATATCAGTATTGTATCAGACAGTCAGGCTGCTCTTAAAGCACTGAGCTCCAGCAAGATAAATTCCAAGCTTGTATGGAGCTGTATTGAATGCCTGGGTGCTAACAACAGAGTCACTTTGCTGTGGGTGCCTGGACACCAGGGGGTGGAGGGTAACGAGAAAGCCGACATCCTCGCCAAACAGGGAACCGAATCTGTGTTCATAGGACCAGAACGACCAGAACCATATTTTGGGGTCACCGCAAGTGCAGCGAAAACAACTATCTCGGGCTGGGCGGAGAAAAAAACACTCACGTACTGGTCTGAATTACCAGGATTAACCCATTCGAAAGCGTTCCTGCCTAAACCATCGAAAAAAATAACCAGGCAGATCCTAGAATGGACAATGTCGTCTAAGATACCACCTGGGAAGGATGGGTCTGAACCAACAAACGGACTGTCGGTTCTGTTGTGTGGAAGACGAAACGGCTGAACACATATTATGTTCATGCTCTAGCTTAGAAAGACTAAAGTTCGACACATTTGGCTTCACCAATTTAGAACCTATCGATTTCAGACAAATCTCACCCAATTCAACCATGAACTTTGTAGAAAGATGTGGATTGTACGGTGAACTGTAACCTCTAGGGGTGAGCCACAATAGACGCATCTGGGGTCGCAGTGGAGGGGAGGTATTCGCCCCACTCACATGGAACCTAACCTAACCCAGTATGCCCACGAGTCCATAAATTGACTACAACGGGACTTCTGTAGTACTGTTCCAAGTTTTCAAATCAGCGGGTAACTTATTGAAACAGCTATACCGGGTGACACAGGAGACATGTAACAGCCTGTATTTTTGTTATTTGAAGAGATAAAAATTTGAACGTCACAAGGGTTATTTTACCGATGATGGCGCTTCCCTTGAACCCAATGACAATTTCATCCAAGCACCTGTTTGATCGGAAATGGTACCCTGTATATTTCTGTAGCCTATCTTATTCGCCTTGAAATTCAATATTCAATTATGTGTTTGCCGTTTGGTATCAAAATGGACGACTTTTGTGTCGGTTGCAGAAAAAGTATATTATTATCATTTTATCATTACCTCTGAGCCCAGCTTATCAACGACACCAGCCACCTCGTACCCAGGAAACAGCGCGCCGTCGCGCACCCCGTGATGCGCCTCGCTGCATCCCCCTTCCAACCCCCCGCCCGCTGCACCGCCCTCCTCCGTGCTGGAGGCCGAGCGCGTCCTACTGCGCATACGGTAGCACGCGCCGGCGCACACGACGCGGATGAGCGCGCCGCGCGGCGGGGCGTCCGGCACCGGCACCTCGAAGCTGAACACGCAGTCGCGGCTGGCGGCAGGCGATTCGATCGAGACTTGGCGGCATACCACTTTGTTCATGGTGCTGGTATCTGCGGAAAAATGCAACCTTGTTATTTTTCACATTTTATTTTTATTTTGTTATTATCAGTTTTCTGTGCATGATAAATTGATATTCATCATACCGATTCGTGATTAGGTTTCAGTGGCGGCGCCAGCTTTCTCTTCCCAGTTATTGGGCGACATCCGGCAGAAGAATTTGAATTGTGGGCAGCAAAAATATGTGGTAGGTATTTAGGTAATGTTTCAGATAATAGGTATGAATTGTATAACCTAATAACACACTTATGTCCCATGGATATCCTTAGGACGTCCTGTCTGGACATTCAGGACGTCCATAGGACGTTCGAATTTGGTACCGTGGACGTCCATTGGACGTCTGTGGGACGCACAAATGTCCCACTTAAGGACCAACTAGGGACGTCCTTGAGGAATGTCCCTGGGACAACTATCGAATACCTAAATCCTACAGTATTCCTCATCAAGCACTACTTAGGACATCCATAGGACAACCTATCAGCAACGCTGAGGGATATCAATTGGATGTCCATAGGATGTCCCAGGGACGTACGAATTATTCTTGAATTTGAATTTTTCTGGGTCCCTCTAGGACCAGATCTTGCATTAATGATCAGGACATCGAGTTGAGTTGATGGTCCGTAGAAGGTCCCCAAAAAGTTTCCCACGGATGTCCAATGGACTTACGTGAAGGACATTGACGATGAGTACTTATAGCCTACGAGCCATCATTCGTCGGCGAGGTGTAAGTAAACGTCCTCGCAGGGACAACATATTGAAAGTACCGACTGGGACGTCCATAGGACGTTATTTCTAGGACATTGGATGAGTACATACAGTTCATGTACCAATTGGGACATCTGAAGGATATCCCTAAGGGACATTCGAAGGATGTCCCTAAGGGACATTTCGATTGTTATACGATCCTGGAAATATCAAGGGCGTATGTGCAGAGATATTTGAAGGAATGCACCATCAGGGACATTTCATGGTTGTCTAGAAGGGACATTATATAAGATCTGAAGTCATACCAGAATATGTACTACTCGGGACATCCGATGGATGTCCCTAAAGGAACGCTTAAAATCATATCCCATCAGGGACATGTCAAGGACGTCCTTGCATGGACATTCTACAATATGTACCACGTGGGACGTCTAAGGGATGCTATATCTAGGCCATTTGAAATGATGTACCAGCTGGGACATTCCGTGGATGTCCTTGCTCGGACATTGCATGAGATGTACGGGATGGGACGTCCCAAGGACACTTATTTTTGTTTCGGGACATTCGGACGTGAATTGTACCAAATAGGGACGTCCCTAGGATGTTGTGTGCTATTAGGGAATGTACCCACTAATTACAGATATTTTGCGGATTTGTGAATTAATGTGAAATACAAACTAGAACGGTTGGAAGAACGAAAAGAAAAAACACAGAGATAATTTCAAAATTAATATTACACGGAAACGCATGATTATATAACTATAACCTATAACAGACACCATCCATATAGATTTTGTAAAAGTCTGGATTTGAAAGATCGGAGATCAGAACCAAACCTTGTTTTCGGGAAGCTCAGCAATGCTGGTTGCCTTGGAGGTTCATCTAGGAACTGGGCCAAATGAGTCAGAGCCACCGGATTATCATCAGCATCGCTGTTGTGCACTCTAAGGAAGAATAATAGGGTTTCAACCTTTTATTTATTACTATTACAATAACCAACTTATTACTTGTCCGAATCCACTTCAAAAATATTGTAAAAATTTTCATCATCGCTTAAAGTGGATACAATCGGCCATGTGTCATCAACCTCAGCTTCCAGGAACTGGTTCGGTGTCGGTGACTTTCCTTTTTATGGGATAACTGCAGCTGGCTTCTCCAATATTGTCATTTTCTCAATCACTTGCAGCATTTGCTGCAACAGCATCACCAACCGTTTCGTCCGTTTCTGTTACCTCACTCAATTCTAATGAATAATTTGTGCATTTTTTTTTTGTTTCAAAAAAGTTACTGATAGTGCGTTTTCTAGCGCTCATTTCAATGTATTTACTCAAAATTCACCCCGAATATTATTGAATAAAAATGACAAACTCGAGGCGTGGTAAGGCGGCAAAGGCACGCAAGCGCTTGACCACCGAGAACAGGCGGCTGAATCGTCCATGATTCGTATATTCGTAAGCGAAGGCCATCAGACGTTTTTCACAAGTTGGGATATAGTAGAGCAGTTGGAGGAATTGGGGTGGAAATAATTTCCACAAAAACGCAGTTTTCGTTTTCTGAAGCCTCATTCGACCCCTTACACTATATTAAAAATATAGATGCATTCTTTCATGCAAAAATGTTGTAATGCAACTTTTCATATTTCAGGTGACCAAACCGAAATGATTGTTTCACAACTCAACACATGCCTCGCTACCTATGATAAAAAAATGATAATATGGTTAGCAGATCTCAAAATTCGTGTCGAGGTATGAAACAATCATTTTGGTATGTGATTGAAACTATTCTCTGTGATCGTGAATGAATTATTTGATATATCATTCCAGGTATATCTGAATATAGTGAATTAAAAGCAGCGATGGAAGATAACAAATGTTTGTTATTTTCGTTAAGTTCTGATGATAGTTCGAATTGTGTTAAATTGACTGCTCAAGGTGTCCAAGGAATTATAAGTGCTAGCAAGTAGGAGCAAGACAAAAATAATTGAACTCTTGGAACCAGTGCCTATTCATCCTCTAATTGTTCACGTCGAATGTCGTCGTTTGTACGTGAATCCGAACAAGATGAAGAATGATCTCAGGTTTAAATCAGATCCTGATAGAGAAACATCAACTAGCAGCAGCAGCAGCAGCAGCAGCAGCAGCAGCAGCAGCAGCAGCAGCAGCAGCAGCAGCAGCAGCAGCAGCAGCAGCAGCAGCAGCAGCAGCAGCAGCAGCAGCAGCAGCAGCAGCAATAGAGCTTTGTGATCTGAGCTGCCGACATTCGCGTTCAAAGATAATTGCTCGTTTTGTGGCCAATTCATCAATGAAACTGAGAAAATAATTAAATCTGCAATTTTATCAGTACGAACTCTCGCGTTTCGACAAACTATTATTGATATGTGTGATGCAAGAAACGATTTTTGATCATCAAATGTCCTTGCACGTCTTCTTTCCGTTATCGATACTTGCCAGCAGCAGATGCTCTGTATAATCAGAAATGTAGTGTGAATTTTGGAAAAGATTACTCTATTCCTAAGAAACATCAACATGATATTCCCAATAAACAGACAAAGTAAGCAGGACGTCCTCCTGATAAAAATAAAGAAGATGCCTTTTTAGAAATATGCAGGTGGCTCAAGAAAAATGATGAACCAATTTCAGTTCAGGAGTTGCTGGCAAAATGGCAGAGCTGCTGCCAGAAAATATATCGAACCTTACACTGTTCGTCGTATGCATTAAAAATATTTCTCGGATGACATTATGATATTGAGACAAAAAGGTAGAGCTAATGTGATCGTAACAGGGAAAGCAGTTGCCAATAATAACAGCTGAACTGATTAAGAATTCAATCAAGTTGATGAGAACATCCTGAGAGTTTTATCCTTCACCAGAAGAAATAAGTTCCGAGCAGGAAAATAATAAGCTTTCACCCGACATTTTGAAAACATAATGAACAACAAAAAATCCTCAAGTTTGAAGAAAAATTCAATTATAATGCAAGCTGCAAGGCCACGATCTATCATGAGTTCAATTCATCTAGGTGTTGGTGTGCAGTATCATCGAGATTTCCGATCTCGATTACTTGTCGATGAACTTCATAAGCTTGGGTTTTCTGTATCATATGATGACGTACGGAAGTACTTGCAAAACTGAAGTAGATGAACCTTGTGGAACCAGATGTAAATGTCGACGATACGGAATTTTTTGCACAGTATTGTACAATAATTGTTCGAGAAGGTACCAATATTCCAATCGAGGAAGTTGAAGATAATGAATGAACTTCTGTTACATGCCAAATATGCCATTTTTATTAGGTTTATGATTTAAACGTATTAACGAATAAACGAATATTGGAAACACTGTATTTTTATTTTGCACAAAGGTATCATTCTATATTTTCTCATATGTGTTATTCTATGCATTCTGAACTGAGAAAAGCAAAAAAAAAATTTGTGGGAATTATTTCCACCTGAGACCATTTTTTATCGCATATCTACTACACTAATAGGGGATTCCCCGCAGAGGCCGCGTCGGTATCAAAGGCGTGCATTTCTTGGACGTTTATTGTAATTGGTGATTCTGGAAACACGTTGATTGAACCATTAACCATTGAAACGGTTAGATATAATATTGATGGCAATCTAAAAAAAAAACTACTTTTGTCTATATCTATTTTTTGCTCAAATGTTTAATTTAGCAGGTTGGGCGAGCGGTTGGGCGGGAACAATTTGGGTTGGGCGTCCGCCCAACCGCGCCCACCCCTGGCGCCGCCACTGTTAGGTTTTCTCAATTCAGAATTTCCTTCCACTTCCTGTGTATGATGAATATCAATTTATCATACATCCAAAAACAAATTCCCAGATGACAGTGATTATGTCAACAAATTATAATTCTCAGATGTCAGTTCGTTATAGTTTTAGTTATATTATAGGGAGATGAAGATTGTGTATATCATGAAGAATGGCTGGAAGAATAACTGGACTTCAGGTTACTGATGAGGATTTGATATCAGAAATGAGTTTTACTCGAATTCGAAAATATTTGCATTTGAAGTTTCCATATGCTAAATGGGTGCGACAGAGAAAGAAGTTTTGGATATTGCGCTGTCATCACGCACTCATTGGGCATATGGAAATTCGAACGCAAATATGTTCGTAATCGTTTAGAATAACCCTATCAATCCCGATATCGTTGGATTTGTAACTATTATCCCTAACCTCGACCCTGGCCCTAATAGATTATGGAATAAAATACCGTGTGCCCCATTTGAAAATCGAAAATGGGGCGCACTTTCAGTCAAACCGGAAATA